GTTTCTTTTCTTTTCTTTTTCTTGGGTGCTTCTCCCCCTTTCTTTCTGATCAATATTAATTATTATACCATCAGATCAGTGAATGAACTGTAAAGGTTTCCATAATCCTACAAAATAGCAAATAGCAAAACCATGGTTGAGGTGACAGTATCTTCTCATTAGAAGAAATAAAACTAGATTTTTCCTCTTTGTATACTCGAGGGAAACAGTGAATTAAGAAGAGAATAGGGAAACACATGAGAGAGAGAGAGAGAGAGAGAGAGAGATAGAGAGACTACTGAGCTGCCCAAAGGCTGAGCAGACCAGCATTGGTTGAGGGAAGCAAAAAGCAGAGAGAAAGCAGCAGCAACTAATCTCTAAATGACTTGACTAAGGGCATTACACTCCATGCAAGTAGAAGAAAATCTGCAGATGGAGAAAGAGATCCAACTTGGCTTAGTGAGGTTCTTCCTCCATCAGCATGCCAAATGAAGCAGATGCATTCATGAGGGCTGAAGATTTCCAGGGATGTTTAGAGTATCAGCAACCATTTCCAATTTCCCAGAAAGAACTCTAACAATAAGGGGCTTCTGATTCATGTTTCGAGCATGTAAACCCAATCCAAGTGCTCCCCTCATGATGATCAGAAGAGTTACAGTTCAAGTTGTTAGTATGATAGATTAAGCATCTAATCAAACATGAAATCCCATACATTTTTCTTTTCCCTACAAAGAGAAGGCTAGTAATCAGACAAGTAATCCCAGTTCAAGTTCATCTTTATGGTTCTACGAAGTAGAAATCCCATCCATAATCTTCAACATGGTCAAACATACATAGAGTTCTCCTAAGAAACCATCAAACAAAGTGGAACTCATTCTTCATATTCTGAAATTAACAACTGATCTTAGTACTGCTGCCCAGTGTTCTGCTTTCCAGCTAAAACAAAGCTCTACTGGTGTCCTCTCTTTATCATCAAGCCAGCTGACAAAGTATGAAGGGAAAAAGCTAAACTAAAACTAGTAGAAGAATGTTTATGTAAGCTTTACAAATGTTGTGTATATAAGTATAATGTCTCTGACATTGTGAGAACTATTGTGCAATTACAAGTCAGCAGAGCACTTTAGATTTCATGAAGTTTTGCAAGTGTAAATTACAATTTGACTGGATGGTGGTTGATGTCATATTCGAATTTAGATTTATGGTTACTTTTGTCACATCATTCTTCATCCCCAATCTGATCCTTGGTAGATAGTGGGTGATGACATGACAAAACTGGTCATGTCCTTCTAATACACTCTATGCTTGCCCATTAATGACAAGGTAAAGACAACAATGTCGGACACATCCACACGCACCTTTGATAACAAAAAGTTCATGACATTAATTTGCATAACATTAATTCATTGGAATAATGGGCTTGCAATTCAATAACTTGTTCTTGAATATAAGTAAAACATAATTAGCACAATCCATGGATGCATATATGAAGTCATGGCTTCTCTTATTGAGATATTATGACTCTGAACATGGTTGATGATGAGTCTTATGTTTAGTTTGCTTGGAATTTTATATGCTTCTTTTCTGGGCACTGGTGCTTCCTTTCTACTAATTTATGTTTATTAGCTATTTATTAGTAATTCTTTGATATAACTCAATAACTTTATTGTATAGTGGTTTGTTGCATTTAATTTGTCATTATATCTCCAGTTCTTAGCTAAGTTCCTAATGAAGGCAAATCTGAGAGAACAGAGGCTCACAAGCTAGTGTTTATGGCCAAGGATATTAATGTGTTTCATTCATTTGATTTAAGAGGTTTATCTACAATAATAAAGTTAACCATACCTTAGTCAAATACTTGGATAATGTTTATTGGTGTGGTTAATGTTTTACCCTATTAAAAAAAGAGATTCTACATCCAAGTTATGCCAAGTAAAAAAAGAACCAATTGCATTATATATGTTTATATGACCAGCTGATAGAAAGCAATGGATCTAAAGTAGCCCCCTTGATAATTTTTGCTGATAATTTAATATATATGCATATGTATGCAGATGAGATGTATACATACATAATTCTTTTCATTCAACTTTTCAACTTGTTGTATTTGTATTTCAAGAAATGTAGTAAACATATAAAAAGATATAAAATCTACTCCTGTATTTATAGACAAAAGGAACTGCACATGTTGACATTTGGCTGATGTAAACTACAGTTTAAATATTGGAATGGATATCAAACTACTGTTCATGATGTTGTTCAAGGGATGAAATTGAACAAGCGTGCACTCAACTAATACATAAACTTGTCTCTGTCTTGCTTTTAGATCCATTGAGTTAATATACTATGTGAGGGTTGTCTGAAAGCTCCTTTTTCTCACAATATGATAATGTGCACGGTTGCTAGTAAATTGAAACATCAATCTCAAGACAGTTTTATTGTTTATTGGAAGAAGAGCATGAAACTGATAACATTTAGATCAGTAAAACATGTTCTGAAATTTTATTGATGCTGCCAAAGTAAAATACAAAATCAGTTCTCAGTTTAGTATGAGCAGGAGATTTCTACTGAACTATTTCTTCCCTTCTTTCTTCTCCTCTTTCTTCTCTTCTTTAGCTGGTCCTACTGACACTATATCAACCTTTCCTATTTTCTTCAATTTGTTGGCGATTTTTACAGCGTCCATCTCACCAATAATGGTCATCTTCTGTTCTTTCAGGTCTGCAGCTATTGAATCGATTCCTGAGCACATAAACACACTTAAATGTTGAGGATAGATGTTATGACTAATCGCCAAGTTTTCTTGAGAATTATATCAGGCAATTTTCCTTGATACCAAGTTTTCATTTTTGTGCAAATTAGCAATTGATTAGTTGATGTGAATATGCTAAATATGAGTGAAATGATAATAACACAAACCAAAAGAGATTTAAATGCATTTGATCAATCATGTGCTTGAAGAAGTATCCAACCTGACAAGCAACCATGTTTATCATGAATGAGACTTTACAGCCCCAATATGTATTTGTTTCTTTTTATGCTGATTCATTAGCAGATAAATTTAAAGGAGGAAAAAAAAAAGGGGAAAATGCAATGGTCCTCTTTCTGATGAAGCAAAATGACTACCATTTTAGAGCAATTAATTTTGAGTTGCAAAAACACACTAAAATTTTAACATGCTACAAAACTTTCTTTCATTCATCAGTGAGTTCTGCAGGTATGTTTGATCACAGACTCTTCTTCTTCATTGATCAGAGTTACCACAAAAGTTGAGAGCAACAGATACAAGATCATCAAGTTAGAAAGAAAGTACCATAGATATCAGCAACAGCTTCCATGGCCTTTCGCTTTGCCCTCTCATCTGTCATGGCCAAGACCTTGAGCACCACCTTCTGCTGCAGAAACATTAGCAGATCCACTCGACAATAAGATACAAGAAGCTTGGAAGAACGTATAACAGAGAAGAAATGCGTACCTGCGCCATCTGAAGAGGAAGGTCTGCGACTCTCTCGAACACTTGTCCACACGGCACGCACAAGGAGTCGGCATGCTTGCGCCTGATAAAGAGATGAGGTTCTGCTGCTTAGGCTGAACAGGTAGGACCTTTGTGATCCCTCGGTAATTCCACACCTACTTGGACATGTAGGAGCTTCTCATTGGACGATGCAGACAAGCATGGATTGTCGTGGGGGTTGCTCAGGAACACATCACACAACTTCTGAATGATATGATACAGAAGTCCATTCTCAAAGTCCAATTCACACCTCTTCCACAGGTTTCGCGTTGCCCAGCCTCCACCTGTGAAGATTCTCTTTTTCTAGTCCAAGAAAAGCCACTCAATTCGTACAAAATGTCAGAGCAGACGTTGAAATCTCTCTCTAAACTCCTCACTTTTTACTGTTGACCAAAATCAAGGACATAGCCACATAGTCTTCATGGGCATATGGAGATCAGAAACAGGTTATTGTTGTGAATCTTAATGGATTGCTCATAGACAAGCAGCTGTTTGATATCAATAAGATGATCGCCATGTAGATTCTATCTGATAGAGGTCCATGATATGGATGGAGAAGCCAGTTTCCAGAATCTCTCATCTTTATCTCATCTTGCTTTTTTCTTCCTCCATGACAAAAATAACTTGTTTGGTTTCTTTGTGTTTTCCTCATTCATTTGGCACTTTGTACAGATTGATGTGATCGAATGCCAAAGATTAGGAGTAATTAAAGTTCCTTCCTTGGCTGGCACATCATGTCTTGATGGTATCACCACTATGAATCCATCCCTTAGATGCATTGAATTTCTAAAGAGTAACAGTTAAGATTGCATCATTGGCTCTTCCTATACCATAGAATAGTATTCATATGATATGTTTTTGGATTTCTTGTGTTTGCTAGTATTTACTATGCTATGTTTTAAAGAATTTGATTAATATACAGTTAATATTCACTAGAGGTCATTTTGATTAAAAGAATTATAAGATAAATTATGTGTTTGAATGGTTAAGAAGCAATATGTATAAAATGATTATAATGTTGAGGTGGAATATGCTAAATTACTAAGCAATTAATAGAAAACATTATTCTGTTCCTTTTGTGGTTCAATTCGAATCTGGATTCTGACCCACTCAAACCCGACCCATTCAGAGCTAGACCGGACCGGACTCAATAATGAAAGCGTTGTTGGGCTTATCTCTCGATCCATGGCTTTACTATTTGGAGAACCCGCCTTCGTCGGACGCGGTCGAAAGCTCTCTCACTCGATTCCTCGAACAGCTTCCCGGCGACCTCTTTCCCAGAAAATGGAGGAAGCAAATCCTCCTCCTTCGGCTCCTCAACCCCCCTCGGTTCCGGCCCCGGAGGCGGCGGCGGCGGCGGAGGCGCCCGAGGCCAGGAGCAAGAAGAGGAAGCTGAACGCCGCTGAGTTCCGGGAATCCGATTACTACAAGCTGCGCCTCGCGGTCAAGAACCTTCGCCCTCTGTTTGTCGAGGTGATCCCGGGACTTGCGTCTTGCTTTGTCTCCAAAGAGCTTGGATTTTGTGTCGATCATTAAGTTTCTTCCTCCACTTCCGGAGTAAAAATTATCTTATTTTTCTGTTGGCAATTATAAACCCTAGATCACATTCCTAGCATATAGACAGACGTACAGATCTTTTGACATGCTTGATTAGTTTCATAGTTTGTTTGAACTTGGTTTCACTGACTTCCTCAAATTTAAACCTTTTTTTTTTCCTTTTGAGAAATATGGTACAAATATGTTCTATATTGTCAGATAGTTTCTCTTCCTCCTAGAACAGTGTTCAATGTTAATTGCTTACTTCCCTTGTGATCTAATAGGAAAATAAGCACCAAATAAATTAATATTTATGCATGCCATGACCATTTCCACCTTGAACCCGACGGTAGTAATCTATTGGACGTGCATAACTACCGCCTAAACTTAGGCACGGTGTGGATCTTGTCACTACCATAACATATCATATGATTAGGCCTCTTTCGGTTGGATCTCACATAATCAAAAGTGTTCTTTATTTTTGTTTCTTTTGTTTTGTTTTCGTCGTTTACGTCAAAGACTCTTTTCTCCCATACTTATCACTAGTTCGGAAGCCATCAATTGCCTTTAGACCAAACATTTAACATAGAAGCATTTTCTTTTTCCTCTCTTTTGCTTTTGCTTCGAAGGACCAGTTTCATGCCAGCTCCTTTATACTTGTGACCAATAATCTTGTTGTTGTATTTTCTTTATTACTTATCTTCAGTCTCAAAAGTTCAGTTTGATACTTGTTACAGTTGTCGATTTGTAAATTCGGAAAAATATTATTCTGTCTCTTCTTTGGTTAGGCAAAAGGCTCCTCCACTGAAGAATTATAAAGCCTAGTATTCTGAGAGAGTAATAAAATTGATGATCCTTGGGCAACAAAAAGGAAACCTTTCAACAGTTAATAGCAATTATAAAAAGACAACATGAGCAATTTTCTCAGTTATAGCAGATTTCTGCATAATTCTGCATTTCATTCTTTACTTTAATAATTATTTTCTCATCATCAACTTGATTTCCTGTGTGACCTTTGCACTGAACAAATGATATGGTTACTCCTATTGAAAATTTTCATTTCTGTTCCAACAAATGTTAAAAGTATTTGATTTTCCACTTGAAATGTCAAAGTAAATTGTATGTTGTTTTAAATCTAGAGAATATACATAGGTACCCTATATAGGGGTATATATGAAAGAATCTAGGGTAAGAACCTTTTATATTTACCACTGAAAAATGATTTATGAGAGTTCATGAGCTTTAGCAGGATAGACAACATATTTAAATGTTTGAAGAGAGAAGTGAAATTAGTCAATTTTCAAGGGATATGGTTATGAAAAATTCCCTTTGAAGTTGAAAAGAAAAAAGTTTAATCTGATGGAGAGGCAGTTGTATCCTTGCAGATAAGGTAACATGGTACGACCCATGAAACTTTTATATTTTAATGGCATGTGCTCATAAATGTGTGAGCATGACTTGAAATTGACATTAAGGTTTGAAAACTTATCATGACTTACCGGTTTCAGTATTTACCAGTCTGAATGTAAATCAGTTTGCAGACCACCTATATTTGCCCGGTTTTGATTCATTACTGGGCTCACGGTATGGTTGCATTGCCAAACCTACTGCTTCGTTTTAATTGTTAAAACCAGAGGTACTGAGGTAGCTTTTGACAGCTCTCTCTTTCTCTCTCTCTCCCTCAAGCAATCTCCTTTTCCACTCCTCTGCCTCTTCCTCTTCCTTGTACATCTCCTTCGCCTCCTAGTAGTATGCCTATTCCGTGGTCTCGTCTTCCTCATCCTCCTTTACCTCATTGTTCTCCTCCTTCTCTCCCTCTCTTCTCCTTCATTCTCTCAGATCCAGATAGTGCTAACTTGTCCTGAATATTGATATATTGATCCATTCTACAATCTCACTGGTCCAACTGCCAACTGGTACTAGGACTGGATCGAGATTTTAAATCTTTTTTCAAACAGTGTACTACAAACAACTTGCCCTTCACCTTGCTCTTCTCCTCCTCCTCTCCCTCCTCTCTTCTCCTTCATTCTCTCAGATCTAGATAGTCCCGACTTGTCCTGAATATTGATATATTGATCAATTATATGATCACACTGATCCAACTGCCAACTGGTACCAGGACTGGATCGAGATTTTAAATCTTGTTTGAAACAATATACTGTATCATTGTAGAACAAAGCTGCATGTGGATGAGGAAATCAGATTGCGAAGTCAAGTCACAGAAACTACACATTCAAGAAGAGCATTTACACGTTATAAAGAATAATATATTCAGAAGATCATGTTCTATTATTTAATGGCTAACAGTCAAAGGTGAAAGGATTTATGTCACTGAACTTTGTTATCTGGATATAGGCATCAAGATTTTATTCCAAATGCAAGTTTAGGTGCTGGAAACATTTTATTCCAAATCCTGTGAATTACTTTCAAATGCTTCTTGATGTGGTTTAAAGGTTCTTCGTACACCGGATTTTCGGAGCAGCAAAGTGGCTCATGATCTTCAAAATCGTAAGTTCTGGATATCTATGCTTTTATGTAGCATGATCATGTACTTATCATGTAGTGAAGCTTTTTGCTACAATCTATTTATTTGATCCAAACTATGTTTGCTATGAGTCATGACATGGCTACATAATTTATTACAAGAACACAATTCGCCGTTACCAGTTCAGTTTATTAAAGTGTGAATTAGGACTCTGATATGCTATCTCTGTTTCTTTTTCGTTCAGTGTAGATAACTTGTCGTGCACATAGGAGCTTCCCATGCATATAAGGAGAAAGATCTTGTTCCTTCTGTACGTTATATTCTCCTTAAAGTTAAAGGAATTATTCTTTAACTATGTTATAGTTATAGTCACGAGGAATTATATTCTCCTTCAAGTTATAGTCACGAGGAATTTCAGTCAGGACTAATGAAAAATGAATGCTGGAAGAGAAATTGCATGTTATATGAATCAAAGAGAAAGATACTCAGTTGTTACAGACATGCTATTTTTGCTATGCATATTTATATAAATTTGCCAAATCCAGGATTCTGGTTACTAAATGTTATTAACAATAATAAAACTATACAAGTACAAATTATGGTATGTGAAAACAGAGGACCATTTAGAAATCTAAATTTCAAGAGGAAACTTGTGATATAGGAATAGGTGGTGATTTTTTCTTTGCTGCATTTGGTATGACTCCAGTCACAAATTGATGCTTCATCTTTTTATTTATGATCATGTTTTTCACAGAAATTTATTGAGCCCTAGGATGTATTTGTTGTTCTCTTCTTCTGTTTTTCTTTTTTTTTCTTTTTTTCACATTGACTTCTAGTCCATATCAAATACTAATTTATATGAAATTTTAAGTGATTGTACAGAGGAAGATAACTCTTAAGTTGACATCAAAACATCAAATGCAGAAGACACGACTGTGAAGAATTAGTAAATGAGCTATTTCTATTCATTATCTGGATTAAAACTTTCTACAAGTATTTCCAGTTATCTGGATTGATCTCGAATACTCTGCCATTAAGAACAGCAAAAAGTTCCACAGAAACTTGTGTTCATTATATTCTCAATTGTAAAATTGAACCAACATTGCTGAATACAATTCTTTCATAATTAACTTGTGCTGCTGAGGGCACCACCATGCCCCATTGTGCTAATGTAGAGTCATGCATCATGACTATCCAACTAATAAAGCATTCACAATGCTTTAAGCGGCAGTTTTATTATATTACAGATAGTTGGTTCCCTCTTCCTGATATAGCATGATACATAGCCTATCATAAAATATCGCACTGGTCTTTCATCAGATAGTCATCTTGTCTGTTTGCTTAATTCACTTTTTGTATTTCTTATCAAAGCAGGGTGCTTGAACTTGTCTTTCGTGCACAACTAGCAAACATAATTTTACAGATAACTAATGCCATGCTTAACTTCCGTGTATGAAATTTCAGGTTATTGTCTAATGTTTGTATTCTATAGTCTTATGTGGGTTACTATTATCGTTATAATTTTGTTTAGAGATGAAGACAGTGCTAGAATTGACCCAGAAGCTGAGGGGTGATGTGACCTCATACGAGAAGTGTAAGAAACCATCTGAGGCAGTACATTCTTTGAAAGTCGAGAATGAAGAACCATTGGAGAAGCCCCCAGAGAACGTAACACTGAATGCACATCCTCAAGCTGGTGATTTCCCGACTGCTCCCGAAAAAGCATCTCAACCTGAGAAAGCCACAAGCATATCAGACAGTTTTCAGGGGACAACAGCTCCAGAAATAAAGGAAAAGGCGAAGCAACTTGATGAAGCATTTCAAGGAACCTATGTGATTGGTGGATCCAAACTTGGTTGGAATTTTCTTGTTTACCCAGGAAGCGAACCAGTCTATTATGGGGTTACAAAAGCAAGTGTGCTGGCACGCAGAGCTGCCGAGTGATTGTTTTTGTTTGTATCTGAAAAGGACCAATGATGAGATAGTAAGACAATTGTTCAACTGACTTTTATGTTCCTAGAAGGTCAAATTCTCCTGTCAGAGATATTTTTGCATGGCCAAAAATTTATGTGGTTGGGTTTTCCATTAATACTTGTAGATCATCAGTTGCAGAGCAATGATTTAGATATTCACAAAACAGGTAAAATTTTTCCTGTTTTTACCCATATGATCTCCTATTAAATGCTTCCTTTTCTTTGTTGTCACTCATTACTCAACTTGTTATCAGTCTTCAACTCAAATGATTCCTTTCCATTATTGGCAAAATACTGGAATAATTGGTGTAGTGTGATGGTGCTCTGTAGGTACCCTATTGTACTTGTTATCAAGGCAATGCCATTACTGTCCAAAATTATTATTCGCTGCTTTACCTCGTTGGATTGGATGGGGAACGAAGAAACGAAGACAAAGCATTCCTTCCATATTTACCTTCCAACAGCGACAATAATTTCTCATAATCAATCTCTTTTTCTCTCTCTATTTTTTTTTTTTATCATTTCACGTTCCTCTCTCCTTTCAACCTCTTCTCGGCTTCCCCTTTCATTATAGTACTTACGCTCTCTCATCGTAACCATCTTTGCTCACGTCACGATCTTGCCTCATTAGTTGTCACATTTTTTGTTACCTCCCCTCGGCTTTTTCCGATCCAACTTCATTTTCATCTTGTCTCTCTCGCCTCATCAATCGTCATCGCTCATCTTACCTTGTCAACCATCGTAGCTTTTGTCAGCCTACACCCTTGCCTCACATTTTTTCATCGTAGCCGTCAACTTCCTCGTTGCATTTACAAATGTCCTCGCCCATCCCACAACCTCACCTCATCGGTTATCGCAACCTCTATCGATCGTTTTGCATATGCTTTTATTCTGTTTAAAATATATAAATTTTAATATTATTAATTAGATTTGATAATAATTTTATTTTTTAAAAAATAAATAAAAAATTAGAAGGATATGAAAAACGCATAGATTCTCCACCCTCCACCCCATTAGGGATTCCCCCTCACCCCATAATGATCCCTACTTCTCACCATTCTGAAATGTATCTCCTCCAACTAAATTTGCTAAAAGATTTTTTCACCGCACTAAGTATAAATTTTCCGTAACTGAGTTTTTGGATCATTCTACGCCATGTAACACTACAGACTGGATGTTGATAAACTTGCCTAGATCTGGTTAAAAGGTTGACATGTCAATATATTCAGCAAAAGACCACAGTATACGAAGCAAAGGTCCCAAATATTTGTTCCTGCGAGTAACTTAGATTTCACTCATTAAATTCTGCCTTGGATCAGACAGCTCCTGTGGTTCCTCAAATAAACAGTAGGCTTCACTGAAGTAATGGGTAAGAGTAAAATCCTTGAAAATTTAGGGTAAGAATATATGAAAGAAAACAGGCTAATCATAAATCCCGTAGCACCTGCAGAATACCTAATAAAATTTTAAAAAAGAAAGAAATAAAGAAACATGCAAAGGATAATAGAGACGAAGAACAATTAGAAGATGCTTTTTTTTCTCTCTTAATTTACTAACAAGTATACATACAGCATTGACAAGGCTCAAAGTGCCTCACCGACATTGCACATCCAATTTGAAAGAGTAACAGTAGATTAGGGTCGATGATTTACAACGTTGGAGCAAAATACAAACAGAATGGCAGAGGATCATTTGACGATCGTCGTGGCACAAAATGCAAACACGGAATCAATTTCCATATCATCTGTACCGGATGGCCTCGCAAAGAGTCTACAGAAGTACAGATGGAGCAATTTTCCAGATTGTCTCTGGCTCTTCTAACATATTAAGGTGCTAATATATGGTTTCATCCTTCAACCATCAACCATCAACCATCTCAACTCTTCATGACAAGGAAGCTGCAAGATTTAGATGACTGTCAAAGTCATTCACCTGAATCTGCAATTCAACTTCAAATACAAAGTCAGCACACGAGTGTACTCATTACATACAAAAGAAATAAATTTTTACATAATATGACACCAAGTTTGTGTAAGAGATGCAGCAGTAGATTAAGAGAAAAAAATATAGTTCTTTACAAAAAGTCTTGACTACTTGTAAGTGTCCAACATTTTTATTTAGATGAAATAGCAATCTTATAAGACTTTAGAAACCATAAAATAAGCATCAGCAAAGATCCCATAATTCCAATAATTGGCAACCTCAACCATCGCCAGGCCCATACAAAATACATTACAAAATACATTTAATACAAAAGGACTCTGATCAATGAGATGCATGAAATACAAGGACTTCAGACTGTTGGATTATTATGAGCAAACTGTATGGAGGTTATAAATGACAAATGATTAGACCAATTTCAGAAAAGAAAATGCAGTTCTTACACGCGCACACGCACATG